GACGCTTAACCGACTGAGCCACCTGGACGCCCCTAATTTTCTTATTATGGTACAGTATACATAAAATGTATCATTTTAACCATTTTTCACTGGACAGCTCATCAGCATTGAGCGCATTCGCACATCCGTCTGGACCAGACAGCCTGAAAGTCTCTGCCCGTTTTAACATCCTGGGATTCGCATCTATAGCAACGCGCCCTCGTTCCTTGCTCGCCCATATTCCACTACAACTTGGAGCACACACGCTCTGTTCCTCTCCTCCCTCCTCAGTGAATGATCTCAAGACACAGGAAGGGCCTAGATGTGTTGATCTGGAATTGGGCTGCTGGAAAGCAAATCTCCTTCTTCCTGCTGCTCTTTCTAACCTAAGGCGGCAGGTGGGGCAGACCCACACCAGCCTCATGCGATGTTCCGGGATAGGAGTTGAGTCATGGAAACCCAGAGAGGGAGCCCAGGGAGGTTCCCTCAACAGCCTCCTTCGCCCGACCCTCACCAGCAGCAGCCCTGCCTGGCTCAGGAGCTGGCCAGACTCCTGGCCTCCAAGGTCACTGTCGTGACAGCAGAATGCCTACAGGAATAACTCGAGCTGCTGCGGCAACGGTAATTAGCTGTGCAGCAAGGGACGGTCCGGTGTCCAGTGGGTCTGGGGGACCTTCTCCCCAAGGCTGCGAGGTGAGCCCCAGGCCTCTTGACCCCCCGCCCCGTTCCAGCCTCTTCACGGTCCCTCAAACACACCGACCACCCGCCACAGTGCTCCCTGGGGTCTCTGTGCACGCCTTCTCCCAGCCCCTGCCCGGAATGTTCTCCTATCAGATCCAGGGGCGTCTCACTCCTGCTCACCTTCTTTCTTCTTTCAGGTCTCTGCTCAAAGGAGCTTCATTAAAGAGCCCCTGGCTGACCATCCTACATCCTGTAGCACCCGCCCTCAGGACTCGCAGGCCCCACAACGGCGCCGGGAATCGTCGTTCAGTCCTGCATTGGTTCCCGCGGTCCCTGCAAGGGCGATCACCTCGTTGCCACCTCCAGGAGCTCGGGAGCAGGTGGCTGAGGTCGCTTTGTATGTGGAGAACATCGCCTCTCTTTATGGCTGTATCTCCTGCACCCAGACCGGGGCTTGCCACATAGCAGACCCTCTGAGAGTGAAAGGGACGGTCACACCACGTCAATCAGAGTGAAAGGGACAGTCACACCAGGAACCCCTCAGAGCTCCAGTGTGCTCACCTCTGAAGGAACAAGAGCCCTGCTCTGCCCGCCTGGCCGGGATTAAGAGGATGTCAGGTCGAGCATCCACGGGAACAGGCTTTGTAAATTCCAACACCTCAGTCCCTGGCGGGGTGAGGACAGGTACAGATGTGCCTTCAGACCCATGAACTGCTCCTGGCGGAGCCCTTGCAGGGGACAGACGTCACCACCTCAAGCTCCTTATGCTAAACCACATCTGCAGCCCTTTTCCAGACTTATCCCCTTCCAGGACGCAACCCTTGACGGCGACAGTCACCTTCCCCCTGTGACCCACCCGCTCCCCCAGGCAGCAGAGACCCTATTTCCACCCCGACGCCTCTTCTGGAACCCTTCACCAGATCAGAGGAAAAAGCCTTCACCCATGGCCAAGGGTTCAATCTTGTTGAGGAACCCACTCACCGGCACTCGCCTCTCTCCCCCTCCATCTCCAGCACTTGGTGGCTGTGCAAATACCCAGTGAACCCGAGAGCGTAACAGAAAGGGCACCCACGTGCTGCTGATGTTCGTCTGACCCCCC